GAGACACTGTGACACACTGCCAGAGAGACACTGTGACACACTGCCAGAGAGACACTGGAGACCCTAAGAGACACTGTGACACACTGCCAGAGAGACACTGTGAGACCCTGAGAGACACTGTGACACAGTGCGAGACAGAGAGACACTGACGACACTGAGAGACGGCCCAGGCAGGGCGCTGTGGGTCCATCGCCCTCCTTGTGAAAAGGCTGCGTGAGCTGCCCTTGAGCCTTACATGCTATGTCACAGTGGAAAGATGCCACTCAGAGGGCCTAAGGCGAGCACTGACTACGCAGAGGAGAGGTAACCGCCAGCCAGACGTCACTCCAGACGTGCGGCCCCGCGCGCCGCCTCAGCTCAAGCCGCCTGGGCGGGTGTCACACACGCCTCTCGCGGTGGGGGGTGTGCAGGAGGGGAGGGCCGCCTTCACTCCCCTCTCAACCCTGGAATCTGGTCTACAGTTACTTGAGCTCAGTAAGGGGTTGGGAAACGTGTTTTCTCAACAGAGGTAACCAGAATATTTAGGAAAGGTGAAAGGAGATAAGAACTACTGCTGCTTTGTCAACAGCCAAATTTTTAGCCACAAAATCAAATTCTCCATTGAAAAAAGATGTGAACAGGAAGAAATGTTTACTACAAAACAGTGACATAAGCCATCAAGCAAGTCTGTAGGCCAAGAAAAAAGTGACAGGATTGTCCACTGTAAGGAAAGACATGACCCATTCGTTACGTGACCACTGATTCAAGTTCTAAACAGTTCATTTTCCATATTCGTTCAGAGTTTTCTGTCGCCTTGCTGTACAAGTAAACAGAGACATGTGTCCGAAGTCTTCCCCATAAGAGAGCAAGACTCCTCTGTTGCCTTGTACCTCTGTCAATTGTTAAAAGTATGTTTTTCCAATATAAATTATATTTGCAAACAGAGCAAAAAGGAAAGAATCTGAACTGAGAAAAACACTATCCTACTGCCTAAGTTCCTCAATTAACAATTCACTCCACTTGCTACCTCTCTATCCCTCATCACTGCGTTTTATATTGTTGATTCATTTCAGTGTGAATTACAGGTATCAGATGAGGATGCATCTTACTACCTAGAGTATAATACTTGCTTAGTGTCTTTAAATTTTTTAAAATTTTCCTTGAGGTAAAGAGTGATGTTCAAAGAAATGTACAAGTCTCAAGTATACATCTACGTACCCCAGGTCCTACCAAGACAAGGTGGGTATCACCTGCAAGTGCCCATGTGTCCTTTTCAGTCAGTCCCCATGCCCTGAGCAACAGCTGGGCCTGACTTTCCCCATGGTATTTTTGACTCTTCCAGAACATTATAAAAACAAAATCATAGGAGCCTCCCTGGTGGCACAAGAGGTTAACAGTCTCAGGGGTTATTGGCAGCCACTGCAACTCCCCGCCAGGGAGTGACCCACAGGGCGCAACATACCTCTCCTGTCTCCCCGCTGCTCCCCTCAGCAGTATGTGTCAGTACTGCTCCCCACTCTGGTCAACCCATTCACCTCCTGTACCTCTGACCTACACCCCAGTTGTTATATGCATAAATAAGTAAATCTTTAAAAAAAAAACTATATACTCTCATGAAGAATTCTTTCATCCCACATGTTCAAGACTCATCCACGGCTGCTGGCCCCTTCACCGCTCAGTGTCACTCCTTCGGATAAGCATTGCACGCTTGGTTTAGTTTTCTACTGTTGCAACTCAAGGTGTTTTCAATTTAGGCTCATTATAATAAAGCTATCACTATTCTTAAACACATTTTTTGTTTTCACTTACCTTGGATGAATACCTAGGAGTTGAACTGCTAGGCCATAGGGTAGCAAAGCTTAATTTTGTTAAAAATGACGGTAAGGCCTTTGACCGAAACAGTTCTTACATTTACATTTTACATTCTCTCCAAGAACATGTAAGTATTCTAGTTGCTCTACGTCCTCATCAAAATTTGGAGTTGCAATTTAATGCGTATAGTGTCTCACCCTGTGATTTTCATCTTGTATTTCCCTAATAGCTGATTACAAAAGGCAGTTTTTCATGTTAGTTTGCTGAAGTGACAAGAGTGTAAGTTAGACTATTACACCTTCACTGCAGACTATTTTTGTACGCAATGGCCCTCTTCACTTCTAGCAATGTCTCTGTCTTAAATTCTATTGTATGTGTTTTAATATAGCTAGACCAACTTCCTTTTGATTAAGATTCTGGTTAACAGACTTTTTACTCCCTTTCCTTACAATCTTTCAGGGTTTTGGTTGTACACAGATTACAGGCAGATGTCTCCAGTCTAACAAGTTATGCCCGTCAACAGAACTCTTCAGTCCACTGCACACATTACAGTGCTTCTCCACATTCGCGTTCCTCTCCACTAGCCAACTACTTGTCCACCCAAATTCTCCTGTCTTCTTTCTCCGCAGCCTTCTTTTTTAGATGAATGTGTTTTCATTTACTGACTTAGAAGACAGATATCCTACCATTTAATGACTGCACTTGGAACTTTAACATTAAAGTTACTCGACAACTTCACCCTTTTGCCCAGTGATAGTCACAAAATGCCATGATTCAAGATCGCCGGAATGAACTGTACCAAGGTGGAAACTTGTGTTTTTCTAGGAGCTGGCACATGGTAAGCGCCCAGCAGAAGCACACGGCTCAATGCATCAGCAGTGCTTTAATTCTGGGCATGCATCCTAGATTGCATCCACATGAGACTAATAATCTACTAAATGAGGAAATAAACATAATTTATTACCTCCTCCTTGATGCATGAAGTACTGCTCCAAGTTATCACAGTCAATTTTGGTCCTACAGAAAATAATCGCTTGATCCATCTTGTGTTCCTTGATGGCCCGGACAGCATACTCCCCCTTCAGGATTTTAATGGCTTCAGACCACATCTCTTGAATACAACAACAACAAACCAATTTCAATCTGAAATTGTCATCAACATCCATAGTCACAAACTTACTGCTGAACTCACCGAAACAGCTCTGCTTTAAACAAGCATTTCCACAAAGACAAATAATCAGACAGGGTGAAGTGTTGAGATAATCCACACCTGTTAATTTTTGTTTCTGTTAGATTTTTATGCCAGGGTGGAGTAGAGAAACACCTACAATTATACTTCCTATGAGGGGAAGTATAAATACTGGCAAGTTCATACCTCACTCCACACCATAAAAATCTCACATCAAAGCTAGAGTGATGCCTGCCACCACTGGCCAGGGAGCCGGGGTACGGTCACCCTCCAGCTGCCGAAAGCAAACTTCTAATTCTGTAATGTAATATATTCCTCAGGTCTTTCTGCTCACCTCTAATTGTAATGTAAATGAAGCAAAACTTTTAAAAGGAAAAATATATGAAGCGGAAAAACGTTTTATTTGATAACTTTCTCAATCAGCAGTAAGATACACTGGTCTGAATTAGCATTGTCTCTGCTGCTCACCCAACAGGAGACGGGTTGAGCATACAGCTGTAAGGCTGGAGCTGCACATAACACAAAGCTCAACAGAACTCTCTTCAATCAAGGTTCAGAGAAGTCACCCGGAATTCAACCACAAACCACATGCAGCCGAGCCCGGGCTCAGGGTGCAGTAGAGGCCCCTGTGGTTGGCCCGGCAGCCTTATGGCCGAGACCCCACCCTTGCTTCATGACGCAGCTTCATCAGCCCGGGAAATGCTGTCTACCTGCAACAAACTCTCAGCTCTGCAGAGACGCATCTTCACTGAGATGGGATTGAGTGTTAGGCTTTTCGGAACTTGGTATTTTATGGCTGGAACTTCAGCTTGGGAAGATGAGAAAGTTCTAGAGATGGGTAGATGGTGGTGATGGCTGCACACTGCTGATGTCATTCAGCAAACCATACACATAGACATGGTCAGGAAGGGTCATTCCTGTGTGTGTAATTCACCACCCGGAAAAGAAATCAAAACATTTCAAGACCATGTCTGTCTCTTTTGCAAAGTAGTAGTCAAAGACATTTTCCTGATATGAAAATTCTACGTGACATTTCTCTTGGAACTGAGACCCAATATGTAATCTGCCCCCAGAGGTATGTCTTGATTTCCTACATCAAAGAGAGTCTACGATTTAGATGCCAGGAGGCTAATGTTTAGTGATTAGTATTCCTCTAAGTTACCTGGTATCAACTCTTTCCTAATTTCTTTATTATTTTTTATATTTTATTTTCAAATTTCCTATTCTACTTTTCTAAGTCAGCTCAAATCCGTCCTGAGAACAGACAGGCGTAATTCAACAGGACAAACCAATTCATTTTCAAAATCTTTCAACACACTTTGATCCTTTTAACTCACCTGAGCTGTTAGCACCAGGTCTTGTGTTATCCTTTGCATGTACTTCATCCGTCTATTAAAAGACAGTAAGACAGAGGGGTGGGAAGTAAGCAGTGATTCAAAACAGGAGTCCTTGTTTTTAAACAGACAATCCTAGCGATCCGTGGGCTGCATTTCCGAACATCCTTATAGTCTGTAGGCAAAACCACCCTTCAGATTCAGAAAATCGCTTTATTAACTTTAGGTCCAGGGCTAATCAATTTCAAATGGGATAACACAAGTGCAAAGGTGGTTTTGAGAATGACATGTCCTTGTCAGACGTAAACCATTGCTGTAAAAAGGTAAATCTAGTAACGGTGGGAAAATGCCAAGACAGACACGTGGAATTGGTTTTTAGAAGGAAACATCTCCAGGGCTCGCTAAAATGCTAAAAGGAGGAAGCACAGTGCCTGAGAGGGTCATCTACCAGCAATCCTATGTATTTATATTCATATCAAGACTGATCGTAAGAGTGTCTTCACACAGAGAAAACGACAAGAGAAGAGACGTCACTTATCTGATGCTTCAAAAGCCTAATCCTTACTGGTCAAAGTGCTGGACACTCTCTCCTCATGTGCAGTATCTTCAGCTTCACTGAGAGACCAGGGAAGCTGGTTCACACACACTCTCCTTATTCGACACCAGGGCCACCACTGTAAAGTACTCACTCTGATGTGGTTTTTCCCAAGTCTTTCCCACAGTCTATCCGTTTTGGGGTTCACTGGGACAACAACATGGTGTACGGTATCTGGAACAGAATCTTCTCCTTTTAAATCAACCCAAGTGGGAAAATGCATTATCTTCTCAGAGAGTTTCTTCACATCAAAAGAATGCAAAGTAGCAGAACAGACAATCACCTGAGAACAGAAAAGTCAACCTTCAGCTAACTTTTCTCTTATGATAATAATTCCATCACATGAATATAGATGTGGGGCACAGAATTCGCTAACCCTCGAGGAGTCCAACCCCAGGCTCTGCAGCAGCAACTAGAAGGGTGCCCGGGCCAAGTTGACCCCCAACTTCAGAGCCCTCACGGCCTCACGGAAACTAGGCCAGCTGTTCAAGGGGGCACGAAAAAGGAACATCAGGAAACCTTGAGGCATAAGTTACTATTCAGTCCCTTCTCTTACAAGTCTTTAGCTCTTAAATTCTTCTTTAAGAAGGTTGAGGAAAATGAGAGCAATAATTTAAGAAATAATCAGTAAGGAAACTTTATCAACTGCTCAAGTTATTTTCCCTTCAAATAGGAAGCGGTACTGACAGTCTGGAATGTAAGATCTAAATGCTTAGTAAAACAACTACTAAGGATTTTTTACTTAGTTTTCTGTAACATCAGAGTAATTTCCTCTAATTCCCTTCTCCTTTACTTCTAAAAGTAGCCTTTTAGAGTATTTCCTTTTGGTGTACTAATCATCGAGTAATGACATTTTATACAGTAATTAACTTAATCCAAAGACACTAAATGAAAATCAAAAGGAATAGCATTAGTACATAACAACTATCTACATTTACTTTAAGATGCATTTGTCATTTTATACCTGAAGTCTTTTTCCATCAGAGGTGATCTGAGGTATCTGATTGTGCATCCTATTTATGAAATCAGAGTAACCTTGAGAAAGAAGCCCATCCTGAAAAGGAAGCCAAGGAAACATAACTTTCTTAAATTAGCTTCTAATTTTTTTTCTACATCAAATGTAAAATGTAGAACATAGAAACGAACTCATACACTTATATATCCCCACACTTTCAAAATGATTGTTTTCTACTGGACATTTAAAGTTATAAATTCAACTTTAAATTCTGTACGAGTGAAATATAAAAAAGCTGAATAACGATCTCAAACTACTCAGTAGCGTGAGCATGGGAGGCGACAGCTCCTGCCATGCTGTTAAGCATATGACTGAAAAAACATGGGAAAAAACCCAATGTTGAAAAACCAGTTCAACTACTCTTGAAAAAAAATTTGGGAAAATTATGTACTAAGTGTCTCAAGCACATTAACATCCTGACACTTCACAATGTACGAGACTAAGAAATAATTTGTAATATGTCAAAAAAAAATCTATGCATTGGGGCCCTCCCTGGTGGCGCAGCGGGTTAAAGCACAGCACTGAGAATCTAAAGCCACTTCCACATGAGTTCGATCCCCGCCTGCCCCGGAGGTGACCACATGGCGCGGCAGACCTCTCCTGACCCGCCCGCTGTTCCCCTCAGCAGTGTACTTTGTCCATCTGCCTGTTCTGCTCCCTTCTCTGTCCCTGGTGAATCCTCTCACCCTCTGCATCTCTGGCCTGTATCCCAGTTCCATATGAATAAATAAATCTTTAAAAAAAAAAAATCTATGTATTAACAAAAATAACTATTTGGAGCACAAAATGATCTATATATTTAGTGAGAGTGGGCAGTAAGCCACGAAGCACACCTATAACATTAGACAGTCTTTAAAGCTCACTTAGAGCCTCCCTGGTGATGCGGGGGTTAAAGTCTCACTGCTATCAAGCTATCTGCAGCCACTGCAGTGTGAGTTCAACCCCTGGCCAGGGAGTGACCCACAAAGCGCAGCAGACCTGTCTTCCCCGCTGCTCCCCTCAGCAGTGTATTTCACCTGTTATGCTCCTCATGCTGTCTCTGGTGAATCCTCTCACCTTCCGCACCCCCAACCTCTGGCCTACACCCAGATCTTATAAGCATAAATTAAAAAAAAAAAATTCATTTACAGGTATGATGTGATATTTACGATGCTACGTTAAAAAAAAAAAAAACTTCCCAGACTTCTTAGAGCTTGATTTCAAGTATATGAAATAATATTAAAATAAGGAGTATTTGAAAATATACAAAGCCTGTAATAATGATTATCTCTAGGAACTGGGATCATGACTGAACTAAATTTTTTTGGTCATCATTTTACATATTTTAGCCCCCAAATATAAGCAAACCTCCTTTTTTAAAAGCACGACTATATGTCAACGTACAGCTTCATCCAGGACCAGGAATCTAACTTGAGACAAGTTCAGCTTTCCAGTAGACACCAAATCATCTAATCTTCCTGGAGTGCCAACGACTATATCCACCTGGAAATAACAAAAGCAGCACCTATGAAAACCGAGAAACTGACCCAATCCCTCTGCAATAGCAACAGTGGTCAACTATACTAAAAACAAGCACACTGCCAGCCAGCTCGCCGTGTCCACACGGGATGGGCAGACTATGCCAAGCTGGATCTGGGGGCGCTGATGTGAAGGCTTTGGCATGCCTGTGACTGACACTTCGACTTACTTACAGCCTAACATAAACATTTGTATCTTTCAAAAAAAAACCAGATAAACAGGAAGTCTGAAATAAAGGCAGGATTCACACCCAGCTGTGTAACCTCAATTTAGTATCTTTTACTTTCAACTTTCTATTTTCGAAATGGATGATACCTTCTTGCTTTGCAAAATGGTCATGAAAATAAGGAGATGGGGGCCCTCCCTGGTGGCGCAGCGGGTTAAAGCACGGCACAAAGAAGCTTAAGCCTGTTCCGCATGAGTTCGATCCCCGCCTGCCCTAGAGGAGATCCACATGACGCGGCAGACCTCTCCTGACCCGCCCGCTGTTCCCCTCAGCAGTGTACTTCGTCGATCTGCCTGTTCTGCACCCCACTCTGTCTCTGGTGAATCCTTTCACCCTCCGCATATCTGGCCTGTACCCCAGTTCTGTACGAATAAATAAATCTTAAAAAAAAAAAAGGGAAGAAAATAAGGAGATGGAATACATAATACATTTATTGCCTAGTGTGCCAAGAAATAAGTGTCATTATAAGCAATAATGATGATGATCTGACTATCCAAGAAAACCATAATACTATGCTGATGTTTTACAAGTACTGTATCACTTCATGTTATAAAGTAGCACTCAGTATCCCTATTTAAATGAGGAAACTGAAGTTTAGAATACTAAGATCACTTTAATACTAAAGTCGTACAGCTGGCTATATGAGCCAAGTCCTCGGATTCAAACCTCAAGTCCAAACAAAAGGAAAAGTGTAATTCAAGTAAGAATAGATTTTGGTTAGCTTCTTACACCGCAAACTTTCTCAAAAACACAGAAAGTGAATAGCACAAGGAGCCCTAGGCCAGTAAAACAATGCACAGCCCCTTCCACTGCCCCGCCCCGCCCTCCGCACTTCTGTGCAAGCCCCCGCATGTAACAGCAGCACGGCAAGCAGTACCTGTGAGTTGTAAGATCTTGGGGGAGTTAGTGAATACTACTAGCCCCTTCTTAATTTGTAAAAAGGGAGAAGAGTACCAGCCCAGAGGATGACTGTAAGAGCCCCCGGTGGCGCAGGGGGCTAGAGCACAGCACTAGGGAGCCGTCTGCAGCCACCACAGCACGAGTTCGATCCCGGCCAGGGAGTGACCCCGGGGCGCGGCACAGCTGCGTCTCCGGTGAATCCTCTCATTCCCCACACCTCGGGCCTGTACCCCAGTTCTTGTATACATAAATAAATAAATCTTAAAAGAAATAAAAATTAACAGCACAACTCACCCCATTATCCAAAACAGAGAGCTGATCCCGCGCTGCCACACCCCCAATAATCAGGAGCTCCCTGGAACACAAACCAAGACAGCAGCAAAGATCAGCACCTGCCGCGCTGCTAGATTTGCACTTGGTTATTTTAGGTGGAAATTAGTACCGAGAAGAAACTGAGAGAAAATCTGCAACAGAAGTCTAGAGAAGGAAGGACACAGAGCACTTCAAAATGCTACAGAAGACACAGACGTGCTTTATGTAAGAGATACCGCACTCTGGGGCCCTCCCCGGTGGCGCAGCGGGTTAGATCACAGCACTGAGAAGCTAAAGCCACTTCAGCATGAGTTCAATCCCCGCCTGCCCCGGAGGTGACCACATGGCGCGGCAGACCTCTCCTGACCCGCCCGCTGCTCCCCTCAGCAGTGTACTTCATCGATCTGCCTGTTCTGCTCCCCACTCTGTCCCTGGTGAAGCCTCTCACCCTCCGCATCTCTGGCCTGTACCCCAGTTCTGTATGAATACATAAATAAATCTTAAAAAAAAAAAAAAAAAGAGCTACCGCACTCTGAAAGGCTCCGGTCTGGGGAAGTGGCGGGGGAAATGGAAACGCCCAGGACACACGAAGCCTGAGGGTCACTAATTAGGGTCTTTCGGTGGCAGGAAGACCAGTGACCCATCCGAAGGCCCACGTGGAACAAGGCCACAGATGACAGTGAGTTGAAACTTAATTTGCTACAGTTTGCCAACATGCTACAGTGACATCTTTTCTATGCAAATAAGTGAAGAAGCTAATAGCAGATAAAATACTCCTTTAAAAAACTGATTTTTGATTTTCACTGATACTTTGCAAATGCTAAGTGTTCATGCAAGAAAAACAGGAAAAATCTCAAATTTCCTTTTTCTCTAGATCAAATATCACTACAACAGTTTCTACAGAAGCTAATTACTACATACCAAAAGTACCCCTATTTACACGGCCACGTGAATGTGTACACACTGAACTCCCACTCGAGCATTTCTAGACCCACTCCTGCCAAAACACCTCAGGCCCAGAGACAACAGGCATTTGAGCACAGAAGGAAGCTTTACCTCAACTTAGGGTTGTCAATATATTTCTTAAACTGCTTGACGTTATTCAGAGTTTGCTCGGCCAACTCTCGGGAGGGCTCAACGATGAGAGCTTTCGGAGCATTGGGGAGAAACTTTGTTTGGGCCACCTGTGCATTACCTTAAGAGAATAAAAGGACAATTACACTCAAATCACACCTCAAAACACTTTTATCGGCAAAAACACAACCCAACAGCAATATGTGAATGACACTGTCAAAAATCGAGGCGATCGGCCACGGCAGCTAGGAGGAGCTCAGGCCCCCTACCTCTGCGGCGGGGCCGGGGGCGAGGCGCTCTGGGCTACGGTGCACGCGCTGTGGCGCGCGCTTGCTCAGTGCTGAGGCCGCGTGGCGGCCGGGTGAGGGCTGCGGCGGCACTGCCGTCGGCCCGGCCGGGCTGGCGCCAGCTCTGCTCCCTCTGCCAGCCTGGGCGAGCCAGCCCACGCCCTACTGCGCAAGCCCTGCGTCTGCAAGATGGGAGACTGCAGGGCGTGTGCGAAGACTGGACGCCCGCTCCGCGCAGGCCCGGCGGAAGGGCCCACGGCCAAGTGCAGCCGGCGGCGCCGCCACGCCGGACAGAAAGGCCTGACGGGAACCAGACTCAGTTCAGGGTCGAGTTTCCCACTCAGTTTTCCTGACGTGTGAAGTAAGGATGTGTGGGAGGCCCTGCGGAGAAGGGGGTGCGCTTTCAGCAGGCCCCTGGAAGTCCTTAGCCCTCAGTGCAGTACCTGTGTGCTGAGATTTGACAACGAAATTGTCAGACGCCTTGGAGAGACCAACAAAACCATCTTTGGGTGGGAACTTAAACTCTTCTTCACCGAAGTTAAATTTCAGTTCAGCATTCTAGCAGTGAAGAGAGGAGAAAGTTAAACTCTTAATCTAACTGCAAACCATTAGAAAATAATACGGATCACAGTGGCTCATGACCACAGCAAACTCTCCTAAGGAGAATCTTCACTACCTTCAAAACACAGGCAGGAAAGAGGGCTTGGTTCTTCAGATGCGGTGGTATTTCAAATGCCAGGCCAAGGTCTTTTCCTGAGGGAGATGGAAACGATGAGAAAAGAAGCCCCAGGCTCTCCCGGCCACACGCCGACTCCCCTGGCTCCCCCACCCTTCCTGCTACCAAGGGGACTGTGTTCTTTTTTCTCTGGAAGTTGTCTGCTCTGCCCTTCGCATTTCTGATTACCCCCTGCCTTGTGGGTCATCCCATCTGATGCCCCCACTGGAGGGTCCGGAGCACAGACGCCTGTCAGCAGTTCCCACCACGACACAGACAACTTTGACCCACGTCTCCCATCATTTCCCTTTCAGTTTTTTCCTCTCCTTTGTCATAAAACTTGTATTTCTGGCCCTCGTGTAGCCACTGCAACACGAGTTCCATCCCCAGCCAGGGAGCTGACCCACAGGGTGCATCCGCCTGTCTCATCCACTGCTCCCCGCAGCAGTGCACTTCATCAATCTGCCTGTTCTGCTCCCCACTCTGTCTCCGGTGAATCCTCTCACCCCCACACCTCTGGCCTGCCCCTCAGTTCTTATATGCATAAAGAAATAAATCTTTAAAAAATAATAATGATGATGTCCATGCGCCAAATCCAGAATCAATGCTCACTCCCCTGCAGAGGGCCACTCAGCAACGGCAGCACGACCTGCCCCTGGGCAGGAGTCTTCTCACCTGGACCACAGCCCGGCTCCGGGATCCCCTCCTCCTGCTTTTCTCACACACCCACTTCTCTGCTTGCTGACCTCCATCACAAGGAAAGCCCCAGTCTCAGTGCCCTCCTGCTCTATCTACTCCCACTCCCAAAGGATCTCCTCCAGTCCTGTGCCTTTTTGTCATTTATAAGCCAAAGGTTCCCCCAGCGATGGCACCAAGCCCGAGCACCCCGGGTCTCCTCACGGGCACGTTACACTTGTGCTTCCACCACAGATACCTAACGGACACCCCAAACTCAGCAGTCCTGAACACAACTCCAGCATCCAGCTGGCTCCCTGCCCCTCCCCCGCCCCCACCCGCCAGTGTGTTCTAGCAAAGCAGCCACCACGGCACTGTCTAGCCCAGACGTGATGTCAAGCACACGGGCCGCGTCCATGACAAGAGCATAGGCGGCCACGGTCTGGCCCTGGGCCGCAGGACAGTGCGACAGCGAGGAGGCCGGTGGTGTCGGTGCAGCGCAGGTCCACTGTCGAGGCAGGGAGCAGGGAGCAAGAGGCAGCCGCAGCCCACATGACCACGTTCCCCCTGACCCCTGGGAGCTTTGGACAGAGAACTGCCATCACACGCCACTTTAAGTGATCTCAGAGAGGTCATACTATTTTTACCAGTAAGCTAGATAAAACCACTTCTTAAAGATAAGCCTCAACTTGTAGGAGAGAAGATGGGGTCTGAACAGGGGCTGGAGTAGCCCATCGCAGACTCTAGGCCAGGCCAAGACAAAAGGAGGGCCCAAGGAAGCAGCCCAGCCAGGCCTTCCGGGACGGCAGCGGTCTGCTCTGCGGACGAGTCACCCAAGTCCACACACCTGCACCCCACACCGGCTTCCCAGCTCCTCACGCATGCGCGTCCTGCCGGCGCGTATCTGCTGACCCTCCTGCGCGGCCGGGGACCCTGGGTGCTCGCCGCTGCAACCCCTCCGCCTCACACGTTACGCGCGTCGGTCTCGCCCACGGCAGGTCACCCCAGAGGCAAACCCGTCTGTCTACCCACCCATTTCCTGCCACGTCTGCAGCACCCGCCAGCGGCCTGCACACAGGAACAGCTTAATGGGGCGGCTCAGCAGGAAGGCAGGGGGCGGGCACCTTACCGTTCTTGGAGAACTTGACGTGCCCTTTATCCATGTCCAGGTAGCAGCCAATGGTGTCATGCATGGTGAACTCCTAGAGCCAGGACGTCACAGGCAGTTACCAGAAGGCAGAATCAGACAAGTGCAAATGCAGCGGCAGCAGCAGTATACACTAGCATTTCAGAGTAACGCTCTGGCGCGCACCAGAGTTCCTGAGCTCCAAGGGAAGTGCTTCCCTGCTTTTCAGGGCGTCACACAGAGTGTCTGTTCTGACAGACTCTTTAGAATCGACATTGTTTTTATTATAAAACTTTATTCTTTATCTGAAGTCACATGGCATTGCAACATTATGCACGTTTCAGTCATGCGTGACCAAGAGACAACAGTCACGTGACATTTATTCCTCTGCTCGCACAGGTCTAGGTTCAGCAGGACACCGGGGCACACTAAGAAATGAGAGTAACACAGGCACGAAGGTGAAAAAGCCAAAGTCAAAATGAGGTGAAAGAGAAGAAAAGTGTCTCCACAGGGGCTAAGGAAAAACTCACTATCACATATTAATGCGGCCCTGTGACATTTCTTCACAAAGTTCAGATGTTACTTTTCTGTGGAAAGTGTTCAGGGAACCCACCAGACTAAGGGGTAATGGGGGTGCTCGGCCCCTGTGAGCGGCCAGGTGAGCGTGGGACACCTTGCTCAGGCGGCATCCACAGTGCACTTGCCTCTCCATAGTTGTCGAACTGCTTATTGTGGGATTTCTTCCCCGTTCCACCAAAGCCGAAGCCAAATTTATCAGTACCTGGATTGAAACACATATTACATAGTGATAAGAGCACTTTCTAAATCAAAAGTTTTAGCTATTAAATAAGTTTGCAAGTGTAAATTAACTCGAAGCACCACTGATGTGTTCGTGCGACTGACTTGACTCATATGACCTTCTGCTCCTGGGTTTTATTCCATGCTGTCTGCGTTTTTGTAAGTTAGTTCAAATCACTTTTGGAGCAAGATGATGATAAACGCTGTGATTTCCATGTCTCTAAACTACAAATTTGGCGTGTTTACATTTATTAGCGTTTCCCGTTATGTTATGATGTCAACACTCCACAAACTGAGTCACTAAATTCGAGTTCCTTGAAAAACACTCACCCAGGTCCAGGGAGGCCTGCATGGACGACCACCCGACTCGGCACAGCCCCTGGTCGTGGCAGGACACTTCATAGTAGTGCTTCCCTGCGGGGAGACACTGAGAGTCTGCAGGGCGCCAGGCTGGCCCGCCAACCGCCCCTCTCACCCGCGCCCTCCGTGCCAGGCGAAAGCCCGCAAACACTCCCTCCCAGCTTCCTGAGCCAAAGCCCTTTAAGGGAAACGCCCGTACGAGCACAGTCCCTCGGAAGTCCCCGCTCAGTACCTTTGGTGAGTCCTTTAGAGGCTCTGCACCCATGCCACTCTTTCACCTCTCTGCTCTGACAGCAAAGACCGTCTGACCCAATGGCTGGATGTGAGAAAAACAGAAAATCACGTGAGTGCCAATTATACAAATCATGCATTCTGAGGAAAGTTCTGTTCAGCCTCGTTTAAAATCCCCTCGCTACAGCATTCAGGTGGAAGTCGGCCGATCGTGAGGCAGCAGTATCTCCCCCAGAGCAATGCCTTTATCCACCACCTCGAAGGCCTTGGCCTGCTGGAGTCTAGCGTCTCCACTGCCAGAGAAGCAGGCCAGCGTTTTCCAGCAACAAGGCCGCGAGAGAATCAGCACGTCCACTCGGCCACAATGCATGGCCCGAGGCTGCATGCCAGCCTGTGTTTAGACGGCCATGCTCCTGAATCCTGCGCAGAAGCAGAGACCCATGGATGACATGGCTTCCCTGCTCAATACTCATTATTCTGATTTATGCTTAAATTAGAGCTTGAGTGAATGGTAAAAGGTAAAAGGGAACAGTTGCTGTTTGTTCCCATTACTGGATCCGGAAGCCCTAATGGAAGAAGCACGAAAAAGGAACCTGCCGCTGCCCGCTGACGTCAGGACGCTGCTAGGACGCCCAGTGCTCACCGCGCCTGCCGGCTCTAGGGACGGCACCTGGCTTTCACAGACCCTGGAGAGAAACGCTAACCCCTGCCCTGGCTCAGGTTTCCAATTCCAGCCCCACACCTGATCACACCCTGTACTTCACTCATCAGAGATTAAATTACTTATTCATAATATAAATCCTTACTCGTATGGCACTACACTACGTAAAACTTCAGCCTTTTAAAAAAGATCTCTGGCAAAAGCAAAATCCTTCAACCTTTTGCATTTGAAATTCTCTATGCAAGATATAAACTCTCCTACCAGGGAGAGCTACAGGGGGAGTAGCAATTTGAGGGTCCTGCTTGCTGTGGCACGTTCCTCATGCCCACCCCCCACTTCCTGCACACATCTTACTGCTCCCTGTGCCGACGCCGACACGTCAATGCAGCTCTGACTCATTCTCTGCAATGCCTCTTGGACACACCTTCCTGTCTGTTACCGACTCCAGAACCCCTTTCCAGTTTATAAAGATTCTTTGTCTTCTATCAGCAATACAAGTATTCTTTATATATACGCGTGTGTGTATGCATGCCTGCATACATGCATGCACACACACACACACACACATATGGGGTAGTCTGGCTTTTTCTATATCTTTTCCACATTTTTAAAAATTTTTATGCAAATATACCCATCTTTTTGTTTTACAATTTCTAAGTTTCCTATCTTCCATATGTAGCTCTCTATGGTTGAATCACGTATGTCACAAATAATTCGAATGTATGTCTTAAGTACATTAAATGTTGCTTCTAATTATGTCGATTTTATATCCTTCCAGATGGACCATCAATCTGGATGTTAGAGAGTTGCCCTTTTTTCCCCACCTACATGTTTTTGTCTACATTTTAACTTCTCATCTATGCTGGAATTTAGTTCCATCTATCCCACTGATTTGCCTATTCCTATTTTATATTAAATGGTCTCACTGCAGAGACTTTGTCCTAATATCTGCTAAATCCAATCCTTATTTACTATCCTCTTTTATAATTTCCTTGATATTCTTAGGAATCATTAAAAGGAAGTTTCTTAACTATAAATAAGCTGCTATAAAATCTATCTACTTACCAAAAGCTGATCCTCTATCATATGGGTTCATCTGCCATTTATTGAGCACTAAACAAAATAAGAAAAATCACTCATCAGCATGAAAATTAAAAAGGCTGTAAAAGTAAAGTGCATATATCTTATGAGACCTTATTTCTTCTAGATGCAACTGCTCTATGCATTGGAAGCTTATGAATACCAGCTGTGGGCCACACGGAGGCTGAACGCTGAGGCACACCGAAGGTAACCGCCGCCCATCGGGCTTAAACCTCGGCTCCCCTTTTGCTTCCGTGTGAGACAGCTGGTGCTGGCCTTATAACTACAACAGTAACAAAATAAAGTTCTGGCAACTACACAAGTCGACGTGAATCATAATGGAAACAACTGACCACCACAGCATGACCTAATTGCATTTTTATCATTATCAGAGAAAAGTAACCTTAATTAATTAATTAATTAATTAATCCTTAACCTTAATTCACATCACATTCAGTAGCCACAAGATTGGTGTTTTCCTTTTCTAAAATATCTCAGTAGTGTGCGGGTAACAAAATGCCACCACTACAGAAGAGAACTGTCCGTGTTTTGAAGCCCAGCTCCCTGCCCGCGCTGAACCCTTGTCTAGGTTACTCCTGGCAGAACAGAGCATCGTCTGCTCCCCCCCAGGGGGGCAGTGCCACCATTCAGAGATCCTCTCTCACACTGCGGGACAGTGGGAAGCGCGTAGACAGAAATCTGGATCTAGGTCGTTTCTAATCAGTCTTGGTCCTGTGTTGCTTCCCAGATCTCTGCAGTGATTTCACAGTTACCCCATCTCCTTTTTCACTATTTTCTCCATATTTAATGTCTAGTGCTTTTTGCTTCTGATAGGACATGACTTTTGACATGACTTTTGAACCTATTCTGGCATCCCCTTCCAGAAGCATCTTCATCATCATTATCATTCACAAAGGACAGTTTAAAGTTCTTATAAGTTCTGAAACGATTTATAAATAGGCCAATAGTCTGCATGTCTCAGCCCCACTATCCAGCTCCAATTCATTTATGTACAAGTGATTCTTTCCATGGACTATGTAACATTGTTACTCTCAAACTACTGCGAAGAAAGTTGACTCCACTTAAGCTTGCAATTTTGTAGCGATCTTGCTCTTTATCAACACAAAAGTGACTTCAAATCGCAAGTGGCTCAAGATAGCACTCAGAAACCATTTAAGAAGCACAGTAATTCAACGAGGTAGAAACTGAGTTTAAGATTGTTCACCACCCAGAAATGCTGTTGGGGGGACCTGAGTCCATACAGACCAAATGAGAAACTGACTGTAAAATGTATGCCCTACATTTGAACTGCCTGGCACCTCTTTTCTTACAAGCCTCATCCCTGTGGGAGATAGCAGTTTCCACCATTGCGCAATTTTTACCCTATTGATTATTTGTAAATCCTTCATATAGTTCTAAATTATTGTGCCAAGTTACCTTTAATATGAGGCATAAAACCATATCAAGTAAAGAAAAACATTAAAATATTTCCAGAGGGACCACCTGCCCCTGTTCCACTGATTTTCCCCAAGTGACAGTGAGCTCCCCTGGGCTCCCGGACACCAAACACCAATACCACCTCCAGCCACCGACACTGCAAACCTCTCTGCACCCCAGGGACGGGAATCACTGATTTACTCAAAAGGAAAACATTAACATGCAGAATTACCAGAAGCACCAGTTTTAATGGTAGTTTTTCCTTTCTTGCCTTCCTGCTGGTCTTTCAGCGTCTCATAAACAATCTGAATGACTGGAATACTGAAAGCCTAGGAAAGAAACAAGTTGTCTATGTGAGTACTGCAGCATCAACAACAGTTCAATAATGTAAATTACAGAAGTGGCCCGTTCACATTAAAGAGACTGCCGCTCCAATTGTATTTGCCCAACCTAAACTACTAGAGAGACACTGGATTGCTCAGTGGCTGCTTTAGGCTACAGGAGCCAGCTGACAACCCAAACATGAAGTATGGGAGACCTGCGGTGCAGAGGCTGCCAAGACGGGTGGGTGCAGTCTGGGGAAGGTCCCTCACACAGGCCAAAAGAGCGCGACCTCCACAGGGAGCCTCTGAGTCCCCAGTCACTGCTCCAGCTCAGGAGCCGCATGACCTGGGATGAAAGATACTACAGCCCTTTCTCCAGGGCCAGTTTAACACAGCCTCAAAGTCACCCTCCTGCAGAGCCACACAGCCGCTGGCAAGACAAACACCCCTCGGTGGCAAGCAACCACTGCTTACCTTTCGGAGGAGCCTGCTTTAATGGATACCGCAAAGTAAAAACTACTGTTCAAGACACCTTGAACAACCAACTGTGACAGACTTAGGCAATTTAAATGTATTACTTACACCAGTTTTCCCGCTTCCTGTTTCTGCAGCCTGAAAAGGAGGGGGAAAGTCAATTTTACAGCTTCAGTTGTCAAGACGCCAAAGCAAGTGGGATGCCGTGGGGAATCTCAGCCCGGACTCTACACGTCTGCCGCCTCCCTGGCCTGACACTCCCCCGCCCTGGGAACTGGCTCCTCCCCCTTCCCTCTTCCCCCGCTGCTGCCGCTGTGGCCTAAATGCTCACCACGCTCACCGGATCGTGACAAAGGTATCCTCACAGCAGTCACTCTCCGAGCTACGCGTGCCACAGGTCAGATTTGATTGACTACAAATGCACATTGACCACAACACGCCCGAGGAATTGCCAACGATCCCCATGCCAACAAATACTTAGATCTGCAACATGACTCTTGAGAACTGCTCAGCGTGTGGCCCAGTGGGCACGTCCTGTCTTATGGCACGAAGGACTCCGGGAGCGGCCTCCTCTCCTCACTGCATCTCCCCTCAGCAGGGCCCACGCGCCCCTCCTCGGGACACCTGGGAAGCCGCCGCCTGGGGCACCTGTAGCCCCTCCTGCTTGACCTTCACCCTGCACATTTCTTACAGGGCTGAGTTTGGGTCCCGGGCAGCTCTTATTCACCTGTGTGCTCTCCACAAGTTCTACCTCACACTTCACATACAAGGTATGTATCATACATGTGAGCAAATAAAATTAATTTCCTGAAAATATGCTGTCTGTGGAGTTCTTCCTGGTGAAAGGCCCAGCATCATGCCCCAGGCTCCCACCAAGGCCAACCTGGAACATACCATAAGGACATCACCTCCTCCTAGGATCAACGGGATCGATTCCGCCTGGATGTCAGTCGGGAGACTGAAAGAGTCATATTTTGAAGACAGAGGAAAAAAAAAATCGTCCAAACTAAGTCTTATTAAACTATAAACCTAAAAGAGAATTCTATTCGGTAAATATTACCAATCTTCTGTAGCTAAAGACACATCCAAGTTTAAAAAGGGGGCTATAATTTAGAGAACCACAGAAAAACTGGATTTCCCTTACCCACTTAGACCCCAAAATACGTGACAGCAACAATTACGACACCACCCCAAGGTCAAGTACTTACAGCCAGTCCATCTCCTCCACAGCCTGTGCAATCTCGGGCATGACCCCCATCTCTGCAAACAAAAACGACATTAAGAGCCACACATACTACTAACCTTCACTCGCACTGCTCTTAAAATGACGGCTCCCAGAACCGGAAGGCTCGGAGGTCTGCTCAGTTCTTTCTACCTCCTTTGTGTGGCACTGTTCAAAGCGCAGGTTTTAGGGTAAGATTTGCATTGAAATCCAAGCGTGCACCTATTTGACATGCAATCTTGGGCAAGCTAGTCACCTGTTTCCTCCACTCAAGATGGCGCTAATGTGAGCTGCCTTGCAGGAAGCTTAGGGACAAGAACATGTAACAGTTCTGGTCCACAGGTGCCACTTAACTCACAATAACCACGGTGAGCATTTCTTTCCCAAGACTAGTGAAAGGTCGGCAACGTTCTAGACCAGCATTAAGATGGTTTCTTCTACAAATAACGTGCCTTGGCTATTTGAGGACCAGGTGAAGACCTTAAACACCGACAGCAAAAACAAAGGCAGACAAATGGAGAAAGTCCACAATGACGGGGAGCCATGATCAAAACCCTGGCTATCGGAAATGAAGGGGCCTGTGGGAAATGCAGGCTGGGACACATCAGCTGAAAAATTGCTCTGTCCGTAACTGTTCACGGGTTTAAATACTTCCACCCAAAGCCTGCCCTAAGGGAATTGATAGTTATTCCTGGGTGGATTGTGTCGTTTTATCATTTCTCAAATGAGCTGAAAGAGGGTAACTACAAGGAACAGTTAGTTGGGTTACCTAACCCTCCCCCCCCCAAAGATTTTTGTCTGTATTTTTGTAAATATTATTTCTAAAATACACACTCCATTTTAACAACATTCAAACATTCCCAAGCCCCTGAGATAACCAATATGGAAACTTTCTGCTTCTTATAATTACTGTTGAAAGGCACAACACTAACCTGCAAACTGAATATATCCAATGTAAAAGTAACATTATCTTTGCTTCTGGTAAGATGAATCATACTAAACGTTAACATCCAACACTAAAATTTCATATGGTAAACTGGTTTAAACAATAACACTAGTGGCATGAAAAAGGATAAAAATCAACTTCAGTGCCCTCCTGGTGGCCCAAGGGGTTGGGACGCAGCACTGCATGCTGACCACAGTGGCTTCTTGCTAGCTCAATCCCCGCCCCTGAGCTCACTCACAAGGCGCAGTGGACCTCCCCTAACCAGCCCGTTGCTCCCCTCAGTAGTGTACTTTGTCGATCTGCCTGTTCTGCTTCCCACTAACTCTGGTGAAGCCTCTCACTGTCCCTGCACCTCTGGCTTGTACCCCAGTTCTGTACACATAAATAAATAAATCTTTTTAAAAAATCAATATAGGGCAACCCACAGATTGGAAGGTTAATCAATCTCTTAATTGCAAATCCAAGCAAACCTTTCTGGGAATTGCCTCTAAGTCTAGCTGTATATTGTGCAAAGCTTATAAACACGGAGGGATGGTCTCAAATATGCTACATACAGAATCCCGCAAGCTGAAAAAGCTCGTGAAATCCCGACTGCAAGCAGCAACCCCGCAGGTTCCAGGCAGGGTCTTGTTTTATTCTGGTCACTTTCTCTACTTTAAACCTGTCTCCTTTACAGCAGGCTTGACAACTCTGAAAAATAACTGGGCTGTTCATATCTGTTGATTCTACTTTTGTCTTTATTCATCGCATCAGATTCTTCTATACCCTAACAACCCTGAACACACCCGGGCTCGAAAATTTTGTTTTAGGAAAAAGCTGCTACGGTTCCTATGATGAGATGCAACGAAAACTATCAGAATCCTCTTTCCTGGCCAAAGAATCTGGAATTCCTGATGGGCTGCTAGGAGGAGGCTGAAAAGTTTTATTGTGTTAATCCAAGTCATCTTGGATTAAGACCTGCACAGAGAGAGTAGGCCTAGCTGGGTACTTCCAGTGCTATTAAATCTTCCCCGATGGTAGATTTACGCCTCCCTGCAGCCTCCTAAGTGTGGACGTCGAAAGGAAAAACCGCGGCGGGCAAGGTGACAGCTGCCCGGCTCACACGCGTTCCCTTCTGCTTCAATGTGCAACCTTAGTGTTGCTACAGTGTTTAACCACACACATCCGAGTTCCGCCTGGGTCTTTCTTTTTCGGTTATAACTGGCCTGAAAAAAAACCAGGAGGGTCAATTTCCCGACAGACCCCCACCCCACCCCAGCGCCCCCAAACAGGCGTGGACAGAGGCGGCTGCCACGTCGGAGGCGGCGGCCTGCTCCGCCAGGGCCAGAGCAAGGTCGCTCCGGCTTCCGCGGCGCGGGGTCCCCGGCAGGGCGGCGC